CTCCCCACCTTGCATATGGGGCCCTAGTGATTTAACCTCTCTACACCTGTTTCCACATCTAGAAAACAGAGATAACAGCTTGCAGCCTTGTCGTTAGGATTTAATTAAATAATGTGTGGAAAGTGCCCAGCATGGGGCCTGACACATAAAAGGCCCTTAAAAAAATAGTAGCTCCTTCTTCCTTCCTCCTAGAAAGGATTTTTTATGTCTCAGAAAGTTGACAGAGTGCAGCAAATAAATCAGAAATGAGAAACACAGATCTCCAAAATCTTCCCCAGCTGCTGAAACTCACACCTTGACCCCTAGTCTGGTGTTCATTGGCCACGTTTCCAAGAGGACTCCACTTCCAACCGAAACACTCAACACATAGCCCAGTGGGTGTTTCCATAAAGAAAAGAAAATCGGATTTGGATTCTGGCCCTGGCTTTATCAGATTAACTGCCTGGGATGTAGTTCTTCCCCTGTAAGCTAGGACTGCATAGTCTGCAAACGCATCAACTACTGTGAAGATAAAATAAGGGCCGGGGAGGGGAGGAAGATTTGAATCTGATGAATGTGAAAGTTTGCTCCAACTCCTCAAAGCAGCCACCTTGGTACTAAGCTGGAGTCTTCATTCACTGCTGGATGTTTCCCAGCTGATCAGTTGCTCAGAACCACCAAACCCAAACTCAGGCCCAGAATGCTCTCTCTAGACACTTACTCTAGCCCTGGTGATGAGAAATTACAGATACAGATTTTTCTTTTACTTCCACGTGATAAGCAGTTCTGAGGGCCTGACCTCATAAATGAAGTTACAATGAACACCAGCGACTCATTTTCCTCAATCATAACTGTAACGAAAATGTCCCAAGCTTTGGTCTGCTCACAATGCCATCTGACTCAGCAGTAAGTCCCTGTTGATGCCAAATGACTTCAAAGGCCTGGTCTCTGTTGAGTCCCATGTTGGATGCAAATTCTTCTGCCCCTGCCATGTGAATATATACAACTACACAACAATTCTTCTAGGGTTAAACTCATAGCCCCACAGCAAATGATTTTCTAATTTAGATGTTTTAATAGCTGTATGGTATATCCATAGTCTTAAGGATAGAGGTTATGAGCAAGGAAATCCACTCAAGTGCTCTTAAGAGACTAAGAGTTATTAGAAAATCATTTTCTCCTTCTCTAAAGGTCAGTAAGTAAATTATAATAACAACACAAAACATATGTTGAATAATAGACTGCCATACTTGCCAACTTAAACACTCCAGGGATATGTTTATTCATTTCATATAATTTGGAAGCAGATCTTTTTTTATCCAAGTAAAGTTTTACTTTCCCCTAACGATGCTTCACAGCAAAATGCCAAACTAAAATGGGAAGATAAAGAAAATGCTGGTAATGTGCTACATCTTAATTTGACAGCCTCGTGACATCCTAGTGCAGAGGGAGAACACAGAATGCACTATGGGCATGTGGGCATACAGGAATTCCAATCATTCAGCAAAGATTTACTGAGGCTCCAACTGGAGCCAGGCTTCCGTTGGACTCTGGTATAAAACACCTAAGAGACGTGGCTTTCATTGAGCTTACAGTCTAATGGGGGACTCCATTAAATAAATGATACAGGTCAAAAAAACCACGACAGAGAAAAGAGGGGGCTACAAGAGGGCAGGGAAGCCTTCAGGAGAAGGATCATCTCAAGGAAAAAGATAAGAAGGAATCAGGAAAAAAAATTAGGTGGGGGAGGGCAGTATAGAAGAGAGAACCGCACATACAATGCCACAGAAGCAAGAGAGCACAAGCAGGTCCAGGATTTTAAAGACGACTGACATGATAAGATAAGCACTTTGGAAAGATCACGCAGAGGCATGACTGCTGGGAGAGACAGTGATCGGGGAACTGTTGCCACGCAAGAGGATGGGACCCAAATAACACCAAGGAATGTGCAGTGAGCACTTTCTTGGTCCAAGCACTGAGATAAGTAAGCACTCTGTGAGCATTATCTTATTAAATCCTTACAACAATGCTGAGAGGGAGGAACCCCTACAGATAAGACAACTGCTGATATTTTCTGGGTTTCTTATTATCTCTTGTCCCCAATTTCCCCCAACAACTAAAATGTGTTTGTTTATTGCCTTGGCTGCTGCTGAAAACAGTGCTAGGCATAGCAGATATTCAAGACACAGAGGATAGACAGGTGGCTGCACGAATAAACCAATAAAGGAATTTTGCCCAAGAGCACACCGAGTGAAGGACCCCATACCCGTTGCACTTACCACACTAAGCTGCAACTGTTAGTCCTTGCTGGTTCTTCTCAGTGTCCTGTGCCAGTCCCTCAGCTCACCAACCTCCAGACTGCCCTGGGCTCAGTCTAGGGTCTCCCTGTCTTGTCTATCTACACCCATTTTGTTGCATCTGGTCCTGTGGTTTTAAATACCATCAATTCACTGATGCCTCTCAGATTTTTATCTCCATCAGAGACTTTTCCTATAAAAGAACCATCTACTCAACAGCCCCAGGTGTCTTCCTAACACCTACCTCAAACTTACTTTGTCCTAAACTCTGCTCCTTTTACATAGTCTTCTCATCTCAGCTAACAGCAACTCTATTCTTCCAGTTGTTCAAGCCGGAGGCCAAAACCTTGGTATCATTCTTGACTTGTCCCTCTCACGACCTGTATCCGATCCATTAGCAACTCTTATTAACTCTTACCGTCAGAGTATACCCAGAATCCAACTTGTCACAGCCTCTCCTGCCGCCACCCCAGTCTAGCCGCCTGCATTTTGCCCAGATTATTGTAAAAGCTTCTCATTGATCTCCCTGCTTCCCTCCTCACCTGTCCTCCTTTCAGCTGATCCTCAACTGGTTCCCACCGCCAAAGTGATCAAGTTACAGCTTACGTCAGATCTCCCCACTGCTCACACTCCTGCGCTAGCTACTATCTCAGGGTAGACATCCTCGCCATGGCCTGGGAGACCCTCCACAGAGCTGGCTACACCTCCTACTAAGCTCCCCTCGCTCAGTCTTCTCCAGCCACACCAGCCTCCATGCTGGTTCTGGAACAGACCAACCCGTCCCACTTTCCAGTCTTTGCACTTGCTGTACCCTTGCTTGGGGACTCTCTCCAGATACTTGCCTGACTCACTCCCTCCCTCACCTTTCAGGTCTGAACTCGAGTGTCACCTTCCAAACAAGCAGCTCCCTCTAGAACTGTAGCCCTCCTCCTCTCCTCACTTACATACCAACTAATCACTATAAATTTGACTGACTGACTTTTTTTCTGTCTCTCCCTAGCCCCCAACTGCAGGAGGGCAAGGACTTTGTTTTGCTCACTGCTATATCCCCAATACCTACAAAAATGCCAGGCAGTTCTCAACAAATATGTACTGAACGAAAAAATGAATAAATGAATTCTCTTCTTTACAGGATCTTCTCCATGCCAGCCACACCAGGCATCAGAGACAAACTGAGGAAAAAGAAAATTTTGATAGAATTAAATTACATATAGCTGACAAAGCATGGATAGAGGTTGATGGCTTTAATTTGAAGACTCTTTCACATTCGTTTTCTGATCAACAAAGGACAAGGAAGGAGTCTGAAACAATCTGAAAATGTTTTTCAAAAATATTTTAGAAATTTTATTTTTATAAAATGTTTTAAATTCGTGTATTAAAATGTATACCAACACACACCAAAAAATTATGTAAGCTGTATCATAAATACAAAACTAACAGTTTTCAAAACATACAAGACACATCCAATGTAAAAAAAAAATCTTATATATACAAAATGCAATGTATTTCCAATACAAAAAAAAAATATGCTCAACCAAAAGTACAAAACAAAACCCTCCCCTTGACTGGCCACTTAAGCTGCTATGAAAGGCTTTTCTTCTTCCTTATGTTACCTGGTCTTTCTTCTCATTTTTCTTTTTAATTTATTTGTAAGATAAGAGCCAATCAAGGTGTTTTAAAAGCTGATGTTTGTTGTTATACTTTTACAGTCAAGTGACTTTTAATTCCAAAAGTTAATACTTTATACTCTGAGCTATAAATGAGTTCCTAAACGTTGTATGCAAATCAAATTATGACTTGGGTACTCTAAGCAGAACATATCATTTACAGAAATTTCTTTTTATAAAATTAAGACTTTCATGTCACATTTGCTTATATCACAGTAAGCCCCTAAATTAATTCCTCAACCCACCATAAAACAAAAAAACAAAAAAACCTCCTTAACAATGTAAAATATTTTATTCACTCTCTGTATGGTTCCCTCAAATGCTAAATAGGAACATCTAATCTAAAATACATCTGGAGGGGTCTGTTCCCTCCCTACCTACCCCACATCTACTAATATGCACCAACAATAGAAACTGGCTCAGTGTTTACCTACTGTTAATGCTAATACTCATCTGATTTAGTTGTTGCAGCAACAAAAAATTTTGAATTTTGGTTGTTTTTTTAATGTAAGAACCACATCTATTACTAATTTATCACCATTTCCCTTAACAATATATTTCAGGGAAAATGTTTAGATTTAAGCTACAATTAAAGTTCCTAATCAGGAAATCAAAAAAGCTAGTTACTGATGCTGATATGCTTTTTCCCTATCAAAACTATCTTTCCTGATTAAACTTGGAGGGAGGGAAGGAGAGAAGGAGGGTGAGAAGGGGAAGGAAAACAGACTGGCTGGAAGGTTAAAGGTGACATCTTGCAGTCACAATGACTCTTCCAGTACTGTGTAGAAAACCACAGAGAATTCTGTTGAAATTCACTAAGAGAAAAGCACTGGCAATGCCGTTCATCTAAAAGTAAATGGAATTAGAAGAAATTTTTTTTTTTTTTTTTTTTTTTTTTTTGCGGTACGCGGGCCTCTCACTGCTGTGGCCTCTCCCGTTGCGGAGCTCAGGCTCCGGATGCGCAGGCTCAGCAGCCATGGCTCACGGGCCCAGCCGCTCCGCGGCACGTGGGATCCTCCCGGACCGGGGCATGAACCCGTGTCCCCTGCATCGGCAGGCGGACTCTCAACCACTGCGCAACCAGGGAAGCCCAGAAAATTATTTTTTACTATTTTCTATATCTTGGAAAAATTCTGTTGTTAAAAATTATGATTAAAATTGGCTCCTCGCCAATTATTCAGATTTACTAACATTTAACTGTGGAGCAATTACTTTAAATAAAGAGAGAAAAGTGAGGATTAAGAAAGGTTAAGTTCAGTCAAGTAGGAAGTCTGGTATGTAAAAAACCAGAGAAAGCAGGAGAGTGCCCAGTTCAGAGACTGACTGCTAAGAGTGCAGGTCCAGCCCGGGGCTGCCATCAGCTAATGAGAAAAGGTAGACCAACAAAATCTACGCACTCCAACACACGTAACTTTTGCTTCACAGAGAGTACTTTTGAAAGCTAAGACTCACTTATCAAGTGAATTAAAGGAAATTTTGCAAACTGTGCACGTAGACGCAATATTTTTAAAGCAAGTTTAAGGGGTGCACATAAGTTCTGAGATTATATTTGTGAGAACTATACCCCCTTGGGGTAAATGTGGTTCAGAAATCAAGCCACTACTACCCTGAGGCACAGCCTGCATAATATTATTAAAATATATATTTCCTTCAAATTATTCTCATTAATTATGTCAACCAATTAGAATGCATCAAGGGAGAATTTTACCAGTGGTATAACAAGGTACATATTTACATTTTCATTTGTATCTTAAGGACAAACTGTTAAAAATGATGATGATGATTATGAAAAGTAAGATTAAAGGTGTGTTCATTTGGGAAAAGCTACATTAATAGTATTCATCCAACCACAAACACTTTCGTATTGAATGCAATACTGCAAAACAATTCACAGCTTTATAAAAAGTTGAAATACAGTTTCATTACGATTTTTTTTTCCAATTCAAAATTAAAAGAGTTCAACTTACATCGCTGCTTAACTATTTTACTCTAAAATCTTTAAAATATATAAAATACCAAGATTATCAACAGTCACATATGTTTTGAAGTCAGGGGACACATGTATTTTCTTAAGATTGGTTCCATTTGTGTAGAAGGTCTGTGAGGATTCCCCAGTGACAACATTCCACCACTGTTCAGAGAAAAATAAAATTCTTATTAGGTTGGCAATTATAGTGTGAGACAATCTGCAGTGCCAGCTGGATCCTTCACCCCATCACCTCCCCACTCCCAAACTAAAGCAAACACCAGGAAGGATGTCTAAGGTTTAACGCTGAATACAGTATTATCAACCCAGTCCACCATTCCTGATTAACCCTGGTGACTGCCTCACAGCTACCCTACACCTAAACCCACTGTAAGGCATGCTGGAGAAACATGCAGCCTACTCAGAGCTGCAGACAGAAGGCTACACAAAGCCCATTATGGCCATGGCTGGACTGAATTCTCCTGTCTGCATATCCTTCTCAGTGGAATGGAAAGAATGACCCTCTCTTCTCTAAAAATGCCCCTTTGCAGAAATGGACAGGAATTTTGGCAGCTATCAAGACTACTGATAATACGGGCTGCAGGATAGAATGTTCTCTCTACTGAATCTTCCCTTTCACCAGGAGTGATTCAAGAGCCCATTACCAAGTTTTTTATTTAAAAGTCTATATATTTATTTACTAAATAAATACTGAACATCTCAAATGTAGCAGGTGCTCTGGCCAAGTCCTTCCTTTCTCTTCCCAATTACTGAATCCACTAAGATTATAACAATATTTATATTCCTTTACTAAATGGAGATCATGAAGCTTACCTACATATCTCACAACTAAGATGAAGGCAAAAGAGACCATGTACATGAACACCTTTTGAAAAGGCCTCAGGTACATCAAGATTCTGAGTATTATGAATGCAATGATCACTTCTGTGTCCGTGGCAATGCCTAGCATTCCGCCTTGCTCGTGTGACTGGGTCAACTATTCATTAGTTATTAGTTATACTAATATTAGTTATTAGTAATGGTAACTGGTAAAAAAAACTGGTATACCTTGTGGACTTAAGTTAAACCTCAATGAAGCAACATGTACTAACTTGAAATTTTCCAGGACTAACAATTTTGCTTCATAAAATAGCAGTGTAATCAAGACTGTAGAGGACAGTCGCTAGAGGCAAATCGTAGAGGTAGTAAGGCCCTTAGAGATCACCTAGTCCAACTGCCTCACTTAACAAGTAAGGAAACCAGGGTTGAGAGAGAAGAAAGGCCTTGTCACTGTGGGCAACACCACTAGCAGGTGGCAGAGGTGGAAGAGTTATCCGGCTTCCAAACCTAGTGCACCCACTGCCTTTCCCTCTATTAAAACAGACCACTCGACTTGGAAACACTACCCCAGCCACTAATGTGAATATGGACTAAAAGACAATGATATTAAATAGGACTTATGCAGGGGACTTCTGGGCAGTGAAACTACTCCGTATAATACTACAATGGTGGACACGTGTCGTTATACATTTGTCAAAATTCACAGACTGTACAACACCAAGAGTGAACCCTAATAGAAATTATGGATTTTGGGTGATAATGACATGTCAATGAACATTCATCAGCTGTAACAAATGTACCCTCTGGTGGGGGATGTTGACAGTGGGGGAAGCTTGCACATGGGGAAGGGGTGGGTGTATGGGAACTCTGTACTTTCCATTCAGTTTTGCTGAGAAATTAAATCTGCTTTAAGGAATAAAGTAAATTAAAAAAAATAGCAGGGATATTTATGGAAGGAGGGATAAATTGGGAATTTGGGATTAACAGATACAAACTACTATATATAAAATAGATAAACAACAAGGACCTATTGTATAGCCCAGGGAACTATATTCAACATCTTGTAATAACCTATAATGGAAAAGAATCTGAAAAAGAATATATATATATAATATTATAATATATATATTATATTGTAATATATTTTATATATATATATATATCTGAGTCACTTTGCTGTACAACTGAAACACTGTAAATCAACTATACTTCAATTTTTAAAAGATAGCTAACATTTACTCAGGGTACACTATGTGCCACCATGTATAAGTATTTCACTTGTATTAACTCCTTTAACCCTCCCAACCCTATGAGGTAGGTGTTATTATTACACCCATTTTACAGATGAGAAAGTAGAGACTAAATCACCTTGTGCAAGATCACAAAGCTACTGAGTGGCAGATCCGGGCTTTGAATTCAGGTAGTCTGCCCCAAGTCTCACACTCCTGACCTTTATATTCTGTTGCCTCTATGTAATGGAAAACCTGAATTTATCATCATGTATTTCATATTTCAAATCAGCCTTTCTCCTCATGAGTATGAATTAATGTGGATTTCTTGTCATTCTAACAGTATGTACTCTGTGGCATAACACAAGTAAATTACATTATTTTTTACTTATAAATAGGAATAACTTTGAAAGTTAAGAGCTTTTTAGCTACTGGATACCTACTTTATCTTACTGACATTCAATTCATACAGCTTGGATTATAAAGTAAACAGACTCAAAAGGCCTATTTTCTTGGACATTACAGCAGCTGTTCCTTTTTACTTTTAATTTGCTCTGTGCTCTTAGATAGTCTCATGAACATGCTGGGTAGATGCAGGCTGGGCTATATCACAACCAGTTTAACCATGCTAGTAATCAAACCAAAAGGAAGAACAGCCTGATTGCCACTGAAATATACAGACTGAATATATAGGCTATAGGCTCTTTCATCCTGAAGACATAACTTCAACATCGATTCTGCTGTTTATTTCAAGGTTCTCCAGGAACTCTGGAAATCTAGTCACTGATCTCTATCATATCTTGTAAGCCAGACTCACAATTATGTGATACCCTTCTATGGTGCACAGAGCATCAAAAGACATGGTCTCTAGAAGCTCAGTGTCAAAGATGAGCAGTTAAGATTTTCAGCAGTTAATACGGCTGAAGACTCCCAGCTTCCAACACAAAGACAGCAATGTCGCTCCTCTAAGAATCATCCTCAGAACAGACTAAGAGTGCAGTTTATCTCTACACTAAAGAAGAACAAGTGGTGATAGTCTCACAATCCCCTAATAACTAAATAAAGGTGTACCTTTATTTAGGTACAGGTTAATGCAACACCTTGTAAGCAGCATTGTATTTTCAATGTAAACTTGTAAAGGAATCATAACATACATCCTCTCATAGAGCTAAAAACTGCCCTCTGATTTATCTTTTTTATAAGCTAGATTTTTACATTAAATAAAATTGCATCTACATAGGTCCCATATAACCAAAAACTTCAATTCAGTCATTCAAATATTTTTGAACATCTATACTATATTAGACAATTAATCAGAATCATCTCCTACAGTTGAACGTTTTCAGTAAGAAAAAACAGTATCGTAAGATCTAATTCATTAGGGTCTAATTCATTAGGGATCTATTTTAAGTGATCAGTACAATACACAGTATCATCTTCAACCCCTTTTACAAGTAAATCACTACTCAAGACTCAGCTCAAGCATTCCCCTCCAATGGAAGCCTCTGCTAACTCCCAAAGGTAGAACTGTCCTCTCCTTTGTGCCTCTACTATCCTTATGCAAATGTGTCCCAGAACCCCTCTTACACTTAGAGACTTTATTTATTTACTGTCTGCTTCCTCCAAAGACTGTCAACCACCTGGGCAAGAACCAAGTCTTAAACATTGTGCCACGTAGCAGTGCCAGCACACAGTGGGCACTTAATACATTCTTAGTGAGTGGATGGATACAAAGATTGCAAGCACCAAAAAACGACCCTGAGGCACCACAACACGCTCAACTGTGGCCTCAGTATTTGCTAATAATAAGTTTGTATAAGGCAATCTACTAAGTAATTTTAGGAAATTCACAACCTCTGTGAACATCAGTTTCCTCACCTACAAACCAAGAATGATAAAATTTAAGCCTCGCAAAGCTGGCTAATAAGATGATGTAAGTAAAGCATTTTGTAAACTCTAAAGCAACATGCTGCCGCTGCTATTTTTATTATTATTACTACCACGACTACCACTACCATTACCACTAATACTTAAGAAAGGAAATTTCACAAATAAATTTTTTTAAAGACTCAACCAACACAGCTCACAATTAGTGAAGTAGAAAATCAAATTAAGTTAAACATCCCACTTTCTAGTCATTCTGATCGCCTAAGACTTTGTTTGGGGCAGGATGAGAGCTCTGGACTCAGAACATCCCTAACACTGTCATCAAAACTTCCAAGAGATCTGAAGAATGCAGCCTTGCAGATCTCAGTTTCGTCACTCAGAACGGGATAACAGTAATCACCCTTCCTCTCTGATGGGTTTGTACGAGGCCCAACTGAGACACAGGAAGTGAAAATAATTTGGAAAGTAGGATACAGGCTGTTCTTTTCTTTCAGTCTTTGAGAAACCCTTACCTTAAGATATCCTCCAGCAGAAACAAGCATTTTGCTATCTGGAGAAAAGCAAAGGTCAGTCACCCAGCCTCCGTGAGTAGCAGCTCCTTCTTCTACTGAAATCGGAGCAAACAAATGAAGAAGCTCACCATTTGAGACATTCCATATCTATAAAAACAATACACAGTTCATTAACAGGGTTACTCAGAAGTTTTATATATCTATCTATCTCATTTGGAACATATTTGGAAATATTTCTTAAAAATATAATTACAATTCAGTGATACCTTAGGAATTTTTTAGATTACATTCTCTCCTGTGCAAATTTTTAAAAATTACTAATTATAATTAAAATGCATTATTTACAATATTTATCATTAACTATACTCCAAAAAATATAACAAAATGACTTAGAGTGACTGATTAGAATACTGTGACTCTTTCACTGAATAAAAGGAGTATGGGGCTTCCCTGGTGGCTCACTGGTTAAGAATCCGCCTGCCAATGCAAGGGACAGGGGTTTGAGCCCTGGTCTGGGAAGATCCCACACGCAGTGGAGCAACTAAGCCCGTGCACCACAACTACTGAACCTGCGCTCTAGAGCCTGCAAGCCACAACTACTGAGCCTGCGCTCTAGAGCCCGTGAGCCACAACTACTGAGCCTGCACTCTAGAGCCCGCAAGCCACAACTACTGAGTCTGCGTGCTGCAACAACTGAAGCCCACGCACCTAGAGCCCGTGCCCTGCAATGAGAGGCCGCCGCAATGAGAAGCCTGCACACCTCAATGAAGAGTAGGCCCCGCTCGCCGCAACTAGAGAAAGCCCGCGTGCAGCAACAAAGACCCGACGCAACCAAAAATTTAAAAAATTCAAAAAAAAAAAAAGAGTATGATGGGAGAAGCAAGGAATAAACAAAAAAGGCCTAACAAATAAACTACCTCAAAAGAACAAAGAATTCTAGTTCAGGATCTACCACTAAGAATATTGACAGACACTATTCAAACACCTAAAGTATATATATTTTAAACAGTTAAGTCCCAGTAAGGTTATATATATATATATGTATTTTTTTATATTTTATATGTATAAAATAAACAAGCAAGCAAGCATATACACATACATTCACTAAGATTAGTTTACTAAGCTCTTAAAAACAACCCAATTACTTATAGATACTAATATTTTCATTTATTTCCAGTGATACTTAATATATGAGCAGTACTCTAATTTTTCAAAGAAATTATACATCAGAATAAGAAAAACAGAGGCATAAATAGCAAAAGAAAATAATCAAAATCATCATTTGTAAACGTCCCCTGGGAAATCCAAGAGAATCAAATGGAAAAACTGATTATCAAGAATTCAGTAAGATAGCTAGATAGAAGATATATATATATAAAATTAATAGCTTTCCTATATTTTGAAAAATCAAGAAAAACAGAAAATTTTTTTAATGTACTAAAGAAAAATTTTTAAATAACCCTTATTTAAAGAGACAATTTTTACCTTTAGGGGTTTCTGGAAAATGAAACACTGCCTCATAACCAGTAAAAGAGCCCTTTCATCCAGAGGTGAAAACTCAGAGCAAAATGAATGTTCCCAAAGCAGTCCTGCCCCTTTGGCTGGCATGGCATTTATGAGAATGGTATACAGAAGGTTGGTTACTTAGTCCTCAAGCAAGAGAATCTTAATTTTCCTGGAAAGCCTATCTGATAATGCCCCTATTCCTGCATAATGCATACTGTCTCATTCTTCTGCATTATATACCTACCTATTCCTTGAATTTTAATTCCTGCTTCGTAAAAAAGAACAAAATAACATACAAAAAACAAGACTCTCCTGATTATACCAGTTACCAAAGCAGCCACCCCCAATGCCCAAACTTTTTCCATCAACCGCCCAATCCTTCTAACACAACCAGAGGCAGACAATCCCACGAGGATGGCAATAGGCTCCACTCTAAATGCTGACTACCTAATGGATATAGTCCTAAAGAGACCTTTCAGTGCAGGAAACAGCAGAATTGCAATTCATTTATAATCTAGACAACAATTTACAAAAATTATTTTCCTCACATTCTGCCACTAAAAACAATCTTTGGTTCAGGTCCAAGAATTAAGATGAATCATTCTCAAGCTAACAGCACAGAATCAACTGCAAATAACTAGGGCATCTGCCTCCTCACGTACATGGGAAATGCTTCACTTTAACTCTAAAATGAATTCTTTTCTGCAGTGAAGTGCAGCTGTGAACACAACGTGCATAAGAAACAGAACAAAGAATGCCTCATCCAACCAGAACCCTGGGGCCTGTGCTTCCCTGTCACATTAACAAAGGCCCCAGATATGGTACAGAGGGCTAGCCAAAGCTATAAGGAGAGCAGTGCTTTCATGTCAGCAAACACCCTACCCTGATTTCTCCGTTGTCATCTCCAGTTGCCAACAGGCTACTGTCCACAGAGAAGGCAGAGCAGCGCACGCAGCCTTTGTGGCCTCTCAATTCATGAAGAGGGGAAAGGAGCTCAAAACTCCAAATCTGGAAGGCAATTCAGATTGTTTAGGAATAGTAAATACACTCAAAATAAGCATCTATAAACCCTGCCTCGAGTGCTAGTTAGCCATAAATTCAATCATATGAAGTTCTAACATTCAACAGTTCATAAACTTTCATGAGAGGCCCAAATGCCAACTAGAAACCTGGTTCATTTTTTAGAGTTTCCCTTTAATTACTCAAGTAAACTTAAGCTCAAGGATCAAAGTCACACCTTCCTTAACTTTAGACTTAGAAGGAAGAATAGCAAAGCAGTCTATGGAGTACAGCAGACTTGAGTGGAGTCCTGGCTCCACTATTTACTAGTTCCTTGGCCTAGGACAACCCACATAAGCTTCTCTGGCTTCAGTTTCTTCATCTGTATGATGGAGACAATAGCACCTATAGAGTGAAAATTAAATGAGATAATAGAGACTGAAATTCCTAGCAAAGGGCCTAACGGTACGGCAAGAGTACTTTAAAGGTTAGTCCCTATACCATCCTACTATCTTAGCAGCCAAAGGCTGTTCTTTTCCTTCCAATATTCTCCCTGGTGGTTCTGCCATCACCATTTAACAAGCTTAAACTGAAAATGTGTTCCAGGCACTGTGAGCAAAGAACTGGTGGTGCAAAGATAACTGGTTTCAGTCCCTGTCCTTGAAAAGTTTCTAGTTTAATCATAAATGTTTGAGCCAACAGTGGTATGAAGTAAATTAATATGAGTAATATGTAATAGGAACACTGAGGGTGGAGCAGCTAATCCTGCCTGAGGGCCAGGAAAGGGTTCACTGAAGGACTGACCTTAAATCTAGGTCTAGAAGAATGAGTCATAATGCTTCCAGGTAAAAAAGGATACAAGGTTGTATCAAGTGAAAGTTAACAGTGCACACAAAAAGATGGAAGTAGAAGTAGTCTGGCACAGAGGGAACAATGTAGCAGAAAGAGGTGGTGATGGGCTAAGGACTTGAGCTTATAAACCATCAGGTCACAGAGGAGTTTCAACAGGGAACTCGGGCAGCAGTAGGGAAGATAAACCGGAGGAAGTACAGACCAGTGGCAGGTCCACCAATAAAAAAGGAGAGCCTGGTCTTCAGGGTGGGGCAAGGAAGAGAACAAGGATCCAGGAGACACTGAGGAGTAATCAATAGAGCACAAAAGACAGGAGAGTCCCAGGCAACTCCAGTGTTCACAGTTTGGAAAGACGGGTAGATAATGATGCCGTTAACAAAGATGGAGAAAAAAGAAGAGAATGGAGAATGGAGTATTCAATGTCCCCAACCAGGGAGCATCATTTCACTGGAATGTGATTTTTAAAAGCATCGATTTACATCAATTACAAAAAAATTTACTGTGGGTGTACAATTAAATGTAAATCTCTTTCAATGCTTTTTATTGCCTAAAATATTCAGTAGACACTGCCTTTGATTACTAACAGACAAAAGTTATCAGTAAGGGAGAAATCAAAAATCCTCAATGTCATTCACTTAATCTATTTGACACAAACTAAATGTCAATGGGCATCCTCCAAAAATTCACAAAATGAGACAGACATGTAGACAGAAACTTATTATTCTGTTTTACACATTAGTTGGACTCATAATACATAACAAATACCAAGGTCTTATGCATGCACCTTTCAACCGATTGGCCTACCTTTGCAGTCTTGTCAGCAGAGGTAGAAGAATACTTGGTTGCATCAGGAGAAATATCACAAGAAAGAACTGTATCCTGATGACAGACAAAGTCTTTTTCTATTCTTCCAGTAATAATATTCCATACCTTCAAAGAAAAACTCAGAAGTTGACAATTAAGAACATTTTGTCTTACTGAGCATACACAGCCAGAAGACATCCTATAAACCAAGAGCTTTAGCACATTGGTTGTTCTGACCTCTTTAAGTGCCTTTTAGTACAAATGCTCATAAACACACAGCAGATGGATGACTGCAGTAGACAGAAAACAGGCATTTCTATTTTAGAAATTTAAAAATTTAAGTATTTACATATCAGCCACCTGCTTTTGGCTGTCACAATATAATCAATGCGATCGATATTAGAATATTTTTTTTAAAAGAAATGTGTGCTTCAAATTACCTTCACTGTTCCATCAAACGACCAGGAAAGCAGTCTTGAATTTTTCAAGAGTCTAAAGTCTTTCACAGTTTCCTGATGGGCTTGCAGAAAGACATATTCCTCTGATTGCCAATTCCATACCTGAATATCAGAGAAATAAGTCTGCTATAACCCTTTCCCCATAATATCCCATTAGAGAGGTGGAGGTGTATCACTCGCTTGTCTAAAGTCTTTCATCCTCATTGCACTTCAGTAAAATAAAGAAGAAAACCAAGTAAGAATACGGTATTCCCATTTTACAGACAGAGAAGAGAAAAGCTGGGGTTAATTAACTTGACTATGGGCAAAATAAAATATTTTTCCTCCTAAATAAAGTCTGTTTTCTTCAGTTGCTTGGAGAGCAGTTAATTATACCAGAAGATAGAGAAAAGTCACAATATGTTCATGAGCTCACCATCTGATTAAATTTTCCAAAGAAAATTATCCCAATTACATATTCACAGATTCCTAAACTTCACAAGTTAGGCCAAGTGTCCAGATTCTGGCTCCACTGAAGCTACTGAATCCTACTGGCCCTATTGCCTGGGAAGGTCAGTTGACCAGAGCAGCTTCAAACCAGGTCGTGGAATTTCTGAGCTTCAGAGATCTTACCTAGCCCCTGATGCAATCCTCAAAATGACAAAAGTGATATAGTACATTATGTTTCACATGGCACTCCAGGAAGAACTCCTCAGATACAAGAGAAAGAGAAGAGATTGCAATGTTGGAGACAATGCGTTCAAAGTAGGCTTGAGAAATGAGCTGGAACTATGATTCACAAACTGAGAAGGGCACTTCAAACAAAGAGAATGAATGCTAGAGTTAAAGCACAGGAGCAGGAAAATGTGGAAAGATTACAGGTACCTGTTCATAGTTCAATCTGACTGGAACAGGATACATAGAAGGAACAGTAGGGAAAAAAGTTGAGAAAGATATTCAAGGAAACAGCCCAGAGAGCCTGAAGCTAGACTTCTGAGCTGTGGGCAATCAGGGAGTCTCCCACAGAATTTTCTTCTATTTTTTAATATTAGGAATAAAAAGATAATGAAAAAGCAGCCACCATCTCAGGTATGCACATTAGTAATATTCTGGGTCTCCTTTTTGACTGGTGAAGGTTAAACAGTAGAAATGCCTTTAAGGCTTTTCTTACTGGGCTTAGGCAAAATTGTAAAAGAAATTCACCTCTCTTACCCCCTTTCTTTACTCCTCTGTCCTCCACATTTAGCAATCACCCTCCCAGCCCCACCGAGCCCTGGCTCTCAGATATCTCCATCTTTTCTGTCTGAGTGTTCGTTCACAGAAGCAGGGTATCTTGTGTGAGAGCAAGGGACCTTAGAAGAGGAGCTGGAAGTGAGAGTAGTTCTAAAGAGGATGAAATGGGAATTTCAGTACTTTAAGAGCGCAATAAGATATGCTGAGGTAGGGGGAAGAAACAGAAGCTTTCTGGCTCCCCAAATCGTATCAGGAAAAATGGCATCCTGTGTGACTAAACATAGAATACCCTGGACCACTACCACTAGGAAACTTCTGGCTCCCTCCTCCTACTGTCTGGGCTTTACTGGACTAGAGGATCAGTGGCTGTTACTAACAGCTCTTCCAGGTTGGCTGGCACTGCCATTCCCAGCTGTGTCTGATTCAATGTTCACTCCTGACTGAGGTTCTTACTGCTACCCTCCACACATCAAGAAGTCAGAGAGCCTTCCTGAGCAGATATAACAAAGAATTTGACAATCACTGAGGGGAAATGAAGACTAGCCTTAGCAGCTTTTGTTGCAGATGCTTTCTGATAAGGCAATGATGACAAGGATACCTTTTTTGTTGACCTCAAACATACTGTGCTAGTTGAATCACCTTATATAATAGCTAAACTTCCACCAGCATTATCAGTCACATGTATAAAGGTTAAGTTTGGGTATGTCTCTACAATTAGCTATAATTTTTGCAATGTATGCACACTGGAATTTTTTCAGCTATATAAATTTAAATTTTAAAAAATGCTAAAGAATCTTTTTATACTTGTAAGAATCAATATATTCTCATTCATTGGCTCAGGTAAACACAGCTACTACTTGGGCTTTATTTACATCAAGGTAAAAGATCAAAAACTACCAAAACAGGGCTTCCCTGGTGGCGCAGTGGTTGAGAATCTGCCTGCCAATGCAGGGGACACGGGTTCAAGCCCTGGTCTGGGAAGATCCCACATGCCGCGGAGCAACTAAGCCCGTGAGTCACAACTACTGAGCCTGCGCGTCTGGAGCCTGTGCTCCACAACAAGAGAGGCCGCGACCGTGAGAGGGCCGCACACCGTGATGAAGAGTGGCCCCCGCTTGCACAACTAAAGAAAGCCCTCGCACAGAAACGAAGACCCAACACAGCCAAAAATAAATAAATTTTTTAAGAAAAACTACCAAAACAGACCTCAACTTTCACAATTCTAGGTGCTATAATCAAGAGAGCTGATTCTTCAAATTTTGGCAATAACTTTAATTGAGCTTGACAAAGATTTACCAAACCCCAACTACATTCCAGGCACTGGGATACAAAGATGATTAAAATAAACCTCCAAAATGGCAACTATGTAAGGGGTTTTCAGATTTGTTAATTAACTTGATTGTGGTAATTATTTCACAATGTGTACATATATCAAATCATCACATTATGTGTCTTAAACATAATACAATTTTGCCAACTATACCTCAGTAAAGCTGCAGGGAAAAAAAAAAAACCTCCAATTAATTATTTATTAAAACATTAAAAAACTATAAAACAAAAACCCAACCAGTCAATTCTTGGAAATACCTACCAAGATTTTTGTTGCATGAATGTACATGCATTAAAACATTTTAAATGTAAAAAGTATTCTGAGTAGAGCAGAAAAAGAGGATGAAACACAGCTCATTTCTACAAATAATCTAACTTGGATCCTAAAAATATTCCTAGAAATTATTTCTCCCTCTGGCTGAGAATATCTGATCTTCAAGGAGGTCATAAAACCTGTGAATTTAGCTGTTGACAGAAAGACTATACTGTATACAATGTCTCAGCAGAATTTCATCAGATGTAGCTTAGTTTTACACATTTCAAAGCCATCTAGAGAGGAAGAAAGGTGAATATTACACTGAGTTTCAGAGCTAATACACTAGTACCATGGGAGCCTATAATAAGTAAGTTTCTGTACTAAAGGCAAATTTCATTCCAATCATATAGGACTCATAGAGACATAACATAAAAAGATTTTTTCCAAAACAGTTTTTAACAGTGTAGTTAAACATTGCCACTGTAGGAAATATATACATATGTATAAAATAAGAGAATACATACTAACTCCTGTTTGAACATACGCATTTATCTCCTTCTCCTTCACTTCTAAAACCCCACTAAAATGACAAAGTCAAGAATGAGAAAGAAGGTAACAACAAAACACTGGAGGCTGTATCGCAGGAGAAGAATGGTAACCAAGAAAACCGAATCTTAAAAGCATTAGAAAGACAAAAGCAACAAAACTGACACTACAGAACTCCCAAAATGCTCAGAAACTGAGGGCACAAAGTACATCCAGAGGTGGGAATGAGGGTGGGGCTAAAAAAAGATGTATCAGGAGTTGTGGGAAGATGGCAGTGATGCAGGCATCTCCTTGAAGCCTCCATAAGAGTAGCAAAGCAACTAAAATAGCAAATCCAAAAATGCACAGACAATATCAACAAGACTAATATCAACAAGACTTAATATCAACATGTTAAGTGACACAGTATCCCCCAAAACCACAAGATACAAGTAAGTGGGGACAAACTGAGAGCTGCAAGACTTGCACAGTAACAGCATCTGTATGGGTAGAAGCAGAGGGAAGCATAATGAGTCTGACAAACCTAAAAACAGGAGAATCTCAAAAGAGCCAAGCACCATCCACTGAAAAGTGCAAAGGACCAACAGGGAACAGCAGCAGAAACTGAGTGCAAGACTGACTGTACTGTGTGGCACAGTCTGGAAGGGCTAAAGCAGTCTAGACCCTATGAACTCTCAAAAATAACCAGGACAATCCTACAATGAGGAGAAACTGTTGGGAATAGAATCTAAAGTAAGAAAAACAAGGATGATGGCAGCAAAGGAAAGGGAAGGTCTCCATAAAAATGAGGGAAGGGGATAGAACAAAGGGATCTCATCAGAACAATGCCATTATTTTTAACACTTCATGAAAACAACAGAACATGGAACTGCAGAGCTGTGAAGAAAGAAATGTTGTCCTTCCCAATCCCTTCAAAAAGTTCAGGAAAACTAATTTCCTGTAAAAAGAAAAGAATCACTATTGAATCCCAAACAATGTTATTATGAGAAAAAAAAAGAATAAAGTGCTGAATAATACTGCTAAAACAAACCAGAAAGAAGAATCTCTGGATTAAAGGACACCAGCACAACTGAGGGTAGGATAGCAATTTTGAGAACAGGGGGATCAGTGAAGGTTTACACACTAAACGCTGAGACATTATACGATCCACACCCCCCTTCCCGCTCTCTTCCCCCACTTAGCTCTAAGAACCTATCTGCCAGGTTTATAACCTCCAGGAGAAGACCAGAGATTCCTCTCTAGGAATCTGACAAGACCAAGACAAAGACCTAAAGACACTGACAACAGAGTTTCCCCATCCAGATCACCTTTCAGAGGAGGTCTCAGTCAATACACAGAGCTCCCAGTCAGCCTTTTAGTATCCATCTCTGGGTAATGAATGATCACCACACAGCTGAGGAAGGCCTTTAAAATAAGAGGCCAAAACATCCAAATAGAAAAAAATTGGAGGGAAGAGCAACTATGCAGGAAAATGAGATTTTGAGGGAAAAAATACATGTAATATATATGACAAAATTTATACATTATTTATATACCCATCTATCCTCAGAGAAGATATTTCATCTACAAAACAAGAACACATGCTCTACAGAAAAATTAAACAAACAATAGAAAGGACTCTCCAGCATTAAAAATATAATGGTAGAAATGAAAAACTCAATGAAAGGGTTGGAAGATAAAGCTGAGGAAAACTCCCAGAAAATAGAGTATGGTACAGAAAGATGAAACATAGAAAAAAAAAAACTAGATGATCAGTCCA